TGATGCGTGCTGTGCATGCATGCGCAATACAATGAAAATTGCTCAGCGCATGCGCAGAAGCCAAAAACAAGATGGTGCCAGTGGGAGAACTGGTTCGGGGGCATGTGGCAGCCCTGGGTCGCTGCCAGTTCCAGCAACCCATGCCGCCAAGTTACTACCAGTTTAGCAGAACCGGTCCAAACCAGTAGGAACCACCACTGTCTGACATATATATATATTTCAAGGCCAGGTTAAAATACAAAAAGCCCAGAAGACAAAAAAGAAAAAAGCACAAAAATAAAATAATCAAAACATTTTAAAAGGTGCATTTAAAAAACCCACATATACACATATTATCCCCTCTAGTTGAATACTGATTAATACATTATTACAGCCTACAAACTTGAAATTTGGCACATATGTTCCACTTGGCTTCTAGGTACTCACTAAGAAAGGATTTCTCGAAATGACCATCAGATCATTAGTATTTCTTATACAGTAATTAACATGTTCTGATGCTAAGGAGTTAGACATTCTACTCCCCCTCCCCACCTGAAAAGAACTCTGTTCCAACTGCCAGTTGCCTCACATTCCATTACCTCACCAAAATGTCTGTGCCTTCCCCCTATGGAACTGTTTCTAGACTCAAGGGAGAGATATTCCCCTATGTGTTTCAATCAAGGATCACCACTGAGCCAATGGATTGTGAACCTAATTTCTCCTGCATAGTCCAATCATATAGTTTCGCCATGAAGCATGGGTATCCAGCTAGTATGTTACATTAGTGACAGTTAACAGGAAGAAGAATACTAAAACAAAACAAAACAAAATTAAAGAACCCTTCTTTGATCAGAAACCTCCTTTGATTCCCAACAAAGCAATTCTCCTTTCCTAATTGGAGATGGTTCAAAAGCTAGAGGTTCTGAAGTCATCTCTTTTATTTTGATAGCTGGTGAAGGTAGTAGCAAGGAGAATCTCACACAATTACATCTTCTGCGCCAGTTGCAGACACTTCTGGAAATAGAAATATTCTCTTTCAATCATGCCCTTGTCACCTCAGAACTGGATTACTGCAATTTGCTCTTCATAGGCCAACCCTGGAGGACTAGATGCAAGCTAGAGGTGATGGATTGTATGCCTCAGTAGCTATGGGAGTACTTATGTTCATTCACAGAACATCATGATTAGGAGAGACAATTGGTTGCAAATCAGGCTTTAGAACTCTACACAGTTTAATGCCTTAACTGCCTTTGAGATCACCTTCTCTGAGTTGAATCAGACAATCAACACTGAACTGAACCCGGCAGAAGCCATTTTCCTAGTTCATCATTGCCACACAGTGTGGGAGAGGGAGCAACTGGAATGTCTTACTAGACACAACATACCAGTAGATCTTTTTCGTGGGAACCAAGATCATCTCCCAGGGATGGAGGATAGAGGAGAAGAGTGCCTGAGGAACCCACCAATTAACCTAGTTGGTCAACGTGACCAGTGACACTTGGGGAAGGGGTTATTACTGGTTTTAATTATGCTGAAACTGCGGGAAAGATTCAGAGTTGGTTTTCCACTGAGTGTGCTGATATGTTGTACTCAATAAAGAAGTTCTTTGAGGAAGCAAATGGCCTCGGAGTTCTGATTTGCTTGGGTTCATTAATAGGAATCTTGACACAGCCCTTCTAAGATCTGTTAGGAACCACTAGTTGAAAGTGGCAAATCTGAATGAACGCCCACTGCAAGGAACTCATATTTGAGTCTTCTCAGCTTTCATGCTTCAAGCATTACAAGAGTGGGAGAGGATATAATAGCTTTTTGGCAGCGGTTTGTTCTCTGAGCTTGCTGTTCAGCTCCCAGATGTTTCGTTATCCAAGTTGGTAACAACTTCAGCAGGGTTTTGGGTGAAGCGACTGGTTGTTTGTGATGTGCAAAATTCAACTGGGGAGGGAGATAGTTGCTTCTGTCGCTGATTGGTGATTCAAGTGGTCCTTGGTAGTTCATATGCTGCTTCAAAGTCAATGTGTTTATTAATGCATCTATAGGTAAAGTGTCAGGAAGCTAAACAGCAAGCTTGGAGAACAGACTACTGCCAAAACCTTCAACTTGAGCTATAAATATTCTCAACAATTTCTAAGTGCATTATAATAATAGCATTCTTTAAATCCTGGAGTGAATGTCATATAAAACCATTTTCCCATTTTTCTGGAGTGCGGTGCAGAGTATCAAAAAATAGAATTATGGCAGGCCTTGTGGGTTGCAATATTTTAAAGGTATTTACCTCGACGTCATGTTTAATGTGTTGAAGTTTTTGGAGTATGTGTGTGTCTACCACACACACACACATGGTTTTTATTGCTGTAATTTACTCATTCCTTTTTAAATTACTTGCTGAATAAATTTATTTTACAATTTTCTAAGCCTTGTTTCTGCAGTCTACTAGTGGTCTAGACTTTTTTTTAGCTCAGCTATGGTAGACTTGATTTTTTAAATAATTCCAGAATACAGTAAAGTAGAAAACAAAAATCCTGTCTACTTTCTCCACCGATGTATAACCTGATAAACACTTAAAAGAGCCGAGGTGGCGCAGTGGTTAGGGTGCAGTACTGCAGACCACTTCAGCTGACTGTTATCTGCAGTTCAGCGGTTCAAATCTCACCGGCTC